AGCATAAAGAGTGAGCATAAACGGCACTAAATCGCATTGGAGCAACGTCACTAGTGGAGTTCCCCAAGGCTCAGTATTTGGACCATTATTATTTATTATATACATAAACGACATAGATATCGGCATAGACAGCATCATAAGTAAATTTGCTGATGACACTAAAATAGGACGTGTAATTAAATCTGACGAGGACTCTGCAAAACTACATGAAGATCTAAACAAATTTTCGAATGGTCGGAAAAATGGCAGATGAAATTCAATGTGGACAAATGTAAAGTACTCAGTATAGGAGATGTAAACAGGGAAACCAGTTACCAGATGAACAACGATGTCATTGTGGAATCCGACTGCAAGAGAGATTTATGAGTAATGATAAGTAGGAATCTTAAGCCAAGTAAACAATGTGTTTTTGCTCTTAACAAGGCTAATAAAGTACTTGGGTTCATACAAAGGAGTGTTAGTTACAAGACTAGCGAGGTCATCTTAAAATTATATCTAGCGCTTGCGAGACCTCACCTGGACTAGGCAGTTCAGTTCTGGTCACCGTATTACAGAATGGATATAGAATCCTTGGAAAGAATCCAGAGGAGAATGACAAGACTAATCCCGGGCATGAGGAACCTTGAGTACAGAGACAGGTTAAAGCATCTTAATTTGCACTCCCTCGAGAGATGTAGAGTGAGGGGCGACATGAAAGAGGTGTATAAATGGAAGTCAGGGTTAAACAAAGGGGACATTACTAAGGTACTCAAACTATCCAACCAGGAGCAAACTCTTAACAATGGTTTTAAATTAGACAAATTTAGATTTCGGCGTGAAATAGGTAAACACTGGTTTGGAAACAGAGTAGTGGATGAATGGAACAAGTTACCAAATATCATCATTAACTCGAATGCGCTGGATAGCTTCAAACATAGGTTGGATGCTTATATGAGCAATAGGGGTCGGGTATAAACGGGACTGCCCAGTATGGGTCAATAGGCCCGCTGCAGTTTCCTCCATTCGTATGTTCTTAACAAACACGTAGTGTAGTAACTCCCTCACAGATGGTGTTATGAGGGACCTGACGTAGTGTAGTAGTTCCCTCTCAGATGGTGTTATGAGGGACCTGGTGTGTTGTAGTAATTCCCTCACAGATGGTGTTATGAGGGACCTCACGTGGTGTAGTAATTCCCTCACAGATGGTGTTATGAGGGACCTCAGGTGGTGTAGTAATTCCCTCATAGCTGGTGTTGTGAGGGGCCTCACGTGGTGTAGTAGCTCCAGCACAGATGGTGTTATGAGGGGCATCACGTGGTGTACGAATTCCCTCACAGATGGTCTTGCGGGGCCTGACGTGGTGTAGTAATTCCTTCATAGATGGTGTTATGAGGGACCTGACGTGGTGGAGTAATTCCCTCACAGATGGTGTTATGAGGGACCTGACGTGGAGTAGTATTTCCCTCACAGATGGTGTTATGAGGGACCTCAGGTGGTGTCGTAATTCCCTCACAGCTGGTGCTATGAGGGGCCTCACGTGGTGTAGTAGCTCCCTCACAGATGGTGTTATGAGGGGCATCACGTGGTGTACGAATTCCCTCACAGATGGTGTTATGAGGGGCCTGACATGGTGTAGTAATTCCCTCACAGATGGTGTTATGAGGGACCTGACGTGGTGAAGTAATTCTCTCGCAGATGGTGTTATGAGGGACCTGACGTTGAGTAGTAATTCCCTCACAGATGGTGTTATGAGGGACCTGACGTGGAGTAGTATTTCCCTCACAGATGGTGTTATGAGGGACCTCAGGTGGTGTAGTAATTCCCTCACAGATGGTATTATATGAGTGAGGTGTGGTCCCAGGCCTTCCTATCGTGGACGGATTAACACATCTCTGGTTGTTGTTGGGTCTCACGGGCTTTTATCACTGGGTACCCGGGACTCTCACTGTGTGAAGGTTAACTTGGGTACGACTCGGCTGTTACTGTTGAGTTGTTGTCACTGACTTAAGCACTGTTTGCCACTGTTCACCTCTGTTCAACACTTGTTCCATTCTTTTCCTAAATGAAATTGTAACTTCTGGCGAGAACTAGTTGGTATTCCGGTAGGGAGGAGGGAGTTGGTATGGGCCAACATAACAGTTGACCTGGCCGCTCCCAGAGGAGCGCCAGGTACGTCTTGACCCTTCAGTGGTCAAGTTATCATGCGTGTGTGTGTGTGTGTGTGTGTGTGTGTGTGTGTGTGTGTGTGTGTGTGTGTGCGTGCGTCGGATCTAGTTTCCAGATAAGGTCTCTCTGAAATACCAAAATATAAAGGGTATAGAAACAGAGAGAGGGAGAAAGGTGAATAATAAACAAGGAAGGTCAGTAAACAAAACAATGGGCCAGAAGTTAAGTAGAAAACAAGGGTGTGTGTGTTTGTTCTGCAACGGAAAAGATTTTGTGTGTACAGTATGTGTGAGGTAGGAGAGGGTGAGGGGGAGGAAAAGGGAGTGGTGGTGAGAGGGAGGTGAGGGGGGGGGTGATAAAGGTAGGTAGGTATAGCCTTTCATCTCCATCAACAATATCACATTCCTCTCCCCTCTCTCTCTTCCTCTTCTCTTCCCCTTTCTTCCTCCTCTCTCTCCCCCCTCTCTTCGTTCCCCCCTCTCTCCATCGACTGTACTGTCAACACAACACCATTCACACTGAACCTCTTCGTTAACTGCCTGCCTACCTGTGTAAACATATCTCTCTCTCTCTCTCTCATATTCCCGACTGGATGATGTTGGTTCACTTTTCTCTCTTCCCACCATGAATATAGCCACGTCATACCCACGTAGCCCAGCAACTTGAGCCATCATCTGCCTCAGTACTCGACTAAGATTCTCAAAAACATCGTAAGAGTAATTTTTCCACTTAAGTTGTGTTGTGGAGAATATACTCAGAGTCAATGTCCAATATGTTGGTCTAATTTGAGAAAACTCCTCTCCTCTTTCTTCCTTCCTTCCCTCCCCACCCCCTTCTTCCCTCCCTCATAGTAGTTCATAGCCTCACAGTCAGACATAGACGCAACGTATACATGTACATCGTCTTTTATGAACTATTGAAGGTTTATGATATCTCTCTCTCTCTCTCTCTCTCTCTCTCTCTCTCTCTCTCTCACACACACACACACACACACACACACACACACACACTCACTTCTCAGTCTCAGTGGTTTGAAAGAGATAAAAATGACATCCATTAATAGGATAGGTTAGACAAGTGATCGTGGGCCCTTCATGCCCGGTGGCGAGTCCGGTGGTGCAGTTTACCGAGGCGTACACTAACATCGTTTTCCAAACGGTCCTGGTTGTTATAATTATGGTCGTGGTTGTTATAATTGTGGTCGTGGTTGTTATAGTCATGGTCGTGGTTGTTATAATCATGGTCGTGGTTGTTATAATCATAGTCGTGGTTATGATCATAGTCGTGGCTGTTATAATCATAGTCGTGGTTGTTATAATCATGGCCATGAATGTTATAATCATGGTCGTGGTTGTAATAATCATATTCATGGTTATTATAATCATGGTCGTGGTTGTTATAATCATGGTCGTGGTTGTTATAATCATGGTCGTGGTTGTTATAATCATAGTCGTGGTTGTTATAATCATGGTCGTGGTTGTTATAATCATGGTCGTGGTCGTGATACTTACAGTATCTAATAAACTATAAGAAGGAATAGAATAAAGGTTAGAATAATTAGTTAAAGAAATATTAGCCATAAGGTGAGGTTAAAATCATAAAAATAAATATTATGAATCACACATGATCATTCCAAGATAAATTATATTATGAAGAGAAGTGACCTTAATTCTGGTTAGAATAGTCATCATCTGCTTAAGTCATCACCTGTGTTAAGTCATCATGGTCATCATGTACGTTAGTCAGTTTTAGGCCCATCTCACATGACTGACCGACCATCGATGTTCTTTCCGCGCGAGGGTGTTAGTTTTCAACGCGTCTTATTATTTACGCTGGTGGATGTAAGACCTCCTACCCTCACTGACGCAGCTATGGTCAATTTGGTGTTATTCTTGTTTATAAATGCCTTCTAATCTGTCTCAAGTCTATCCGTCCTGTCTATTGCCATCCTAACTGTCTTTTCGTCTGCATGGTGTTTGACTGTCAGCCCGTCTGTACTCTTTGTGTCGTCAAATCTGTCTGTCTTATCCATTATTGGCGTGTGTCTGCCTGTTTGTCTAATGTGAACCTGTCAGTCAGCTGTCTGTCTGTCATGTTAGCTGCCATATTGTCTATTTGTGCATGTATGAATCTGTCTATTTTTGTCAACCTCCTGTCTGTTTCACTGTCTATATTCACCCTGTGTCTATTGTTGTCATCTTCTCCATGCATTCCTGTTATTATCTTTTTATCTCTTCTCCTTTTCCATGAGCCACAGGAATAAGTATACACTGTAGCTGTAAGGTCGTTTGGTAAGGTTGAAACTGCTCACCCAGACGCATGATGAAACTCAGCTCCCCCCACCTGTTATATCTATCTATTTTCTGTTTCCCCCTTCTTTATTATTCTTCCATTTACTCATCTTCCTTCCTTTACTAATCCAAACAACATTTTAAAGAAAAGTAGGCTTAGAAAAAAGTGGGGGGAGGTGGAGGGAGCCGTACGACAACTGCAATCGTGGGCTGACAGCGTACAGCGAATGAGGGTGCGCCAAGTCCTTAGACTTGCATCGTTTTCCAGCGTAAATAATTTGGTTATGTAATGGCTTCCTAAAGAAACCATTGATATGGGACCAGGTTTGTTCCACTCTACGATTTTTTTGCGATTTTTCCACCAAATTTGATGTAAAACGATTGTGCCGTCTCGGCTGCCCAGAACACACACACACACACACACACACGGCTAGTCCTATAGTATATTAGATTAGATTTGGTCAGGTTAGGTTTGGTTAGGTTAGGTTAAGTTAGGTTAGGTTAGGTTAGGTTAGATTATTGAAAGACTCGTATTATTAAATTATATATATTTTTAGATTCTTGTGTTACAGTTGTACAAGTTGTTCATTCTTATGTATTTACGTGCATAGGACTGTAACATACACACACACACACACACACTCAAAAGTACACATTCGTTCTCCCTTTATTTCCCTGTCTGTGTCTCTTTGTACTGTCTATCTGTCTGTCTGTTTGTCGCTTCCTGTCTTACTGTCGCTCTCTGTCTCTCTTTCTCTCTGTCTGTCTCTGTTTCTCACAAAGATACCACCTTCCATCCGAATGCACATATTCTCAACACACAGCAGACCACTATAGATGTACACAGCAAAACATAAACATTGTGACAGTAGTTATGGCTGTTCCCACAACCCCTGCTCTCTCTATCACTGTTGAGGCTCTGACTGCTCGCGTTGGCATGTACAGCCCCAGGGTGTTCGCCTGGTGGAAAGGGGTAGAAGATAGTGAATTATTTAACCCTTTAGGTGTAATTGCTTAACCCCTTGATTATGGTGACTTAACCCCTTGATTATGATGGCTTAATCCCTTGAATATGACTTAAACCTTTGAGTATGATGGGTTAACCCCTTGAGATGATGACTTAACCCCTTGAGTATGATAACTTAACCCATTGGGTATGATTACTTTACCCCTTGAGTATGATAACGTAACCCTGTTAGTATGAGGGCCTTGATTATGATGACTTAACCCTTTGAGTATGATGGCTTAACCCCTTGAGAATGATGACTTAACCCCTTGAGTATGATGGCTTAACCCCTTGAGTATGTTGATTTAACCCCTTGAGTACGATGACATAACCGCATGAGTATGTTGATTTAACCCCTTGAGTATGGTGGCTTAACTCCTTGATTAGGATAACTTAGCCCCTTGAGTATGATGACTTAACCGCTTGAGTATGATGACCTAACTCCTTGAGATGATGACTTAATCCCTTGATTATGATGACTTAAAATTGAGTATGGTGACTTAACCCCTTGAGTACGATGTCTTAACCCCTTGATTATGATGACTTAACCCCTTGAGTATGATGGCTTTACCCCTTGAGTATGATGACATAACCGCTTGAGTATGATGACTTAACCCCTTGAATATGATGGCTTAACCCCTTCAGTATAATGGCTTAACCCCTTGGGTATGATGACATAACCCCTTGAGTATGATGTACTTAACCCTTTGAGTATGATGGCTTAACCCCTTGAGTATGTTGACTTAACCCATTGGGTATGATTACTTAACCCCTTGAGTATGATAACTTAACCCTTTGAGTATGATGTCTTAAACCCTTTGAGTATGATGGCTTAACCCCTTGAGTATGTTGACTTAACCCATTGGGTATGATTACTTAACCCCTTGGGTATGATGACATAACCCCTTGAGTATGATGTACTTAACCCTTTGAGTATGATGGCTTAACCCCTTGAGTATGTTGACTTAACCCATTGGGTATGATTACTTAACCCCTTGAGTATGATAACTTAACCCTTTGAGTATGATGTCTTAAACCCTTTGAGTATGATGGCTTAACCCCTTGAGTATGATGACTTAACCTTTGAGCATGATGGCTTAACCCCTTGAGTATGATGACTTAAACCTTTGAGTATGATGACTTAACCCCTTGACTATGATGACTTAAAACCTTTGAGTATGATGACTTAACACCTTGAGTATGATGACTTAAACCTTTGAGTATGATGACTTAACCCCTTGAGTATGATGACTTAACCCTTTGAGTGTGATGGCTTAACCCCTTGAGTATGATGACTTAAACCTTTGAGTATGATGGGTTAAACCCTTGAGTATGATGACTTAAACCTTTGAGTATGATGGTTTAAACCCTTGAGTATGATGACTTAAACCTTTGAGTATGATGGTTTAAACCCTTGAGTATGATGACTTAACACCTTGAGTACGATGACTTAAACCTTTGAGTATGATGGTTTAAACCCTTGAGTATGATGACTAAAACCTTTGAGTATGATGACTTAACACCTTGAGTATGATGACTTAAACCTTTGAGTATGATGGTTTAAACCCTTGAGTATGATGACTTAAACCTTTGAGTGTGATGGCTTAACACCTTGAGTATGATGACTTAAACCTTTGAGTATGATGGTTTAAACCCTTGAGTATGATGACTTAAACCTTTGAGTATGATGGTTTAAACCCTTGAGTATGATGACTTAAACCTTTGAGTATGATGGTTTAAACCCTTGAGTATGATGACTTAAACCTTTATGACTTAAACCTTTGAGTATGATGACTTAACACCTTGAGTATGATGACTTAAACCTTTGAGTATGATGGTTTAAACCCTTGAGTATGATGACTTAAACCTTTGAGTATGATGACTTAACACCTTGAGTATGATGACTTAAACCTTTGAGTATGATGGTTTAAACCCTTGAGTATGATGCCTTGAACAAAGAGAGAAAGAGAGAGAGAGACCTCACCAGGTAGAGGTGGGTGATGAGAGAGAGGTAAGGTGCTGTTCTTAGCAGCTGCTGGCTCCTCACCTGAAAATGTTGACAATAATTACTGATACACACATTTGCTCTATCTAATACACACACACATGGTATTTCCCCCCTCCCCCCCCCACACACACACACACAAGTTAGTACACACATGGTATTGCACACCCTCTCCCCACACACACAAGTTAGTACACACATGGTATTGCACACCCCCACCCCCATACACACACACACACACACGCACACAAGTTAGTACACACTTGTATTACCCCCACCACACACACACACACACACACACACACACACACACACAAGTTAGTACACACATGGTATTGCACCCCACACCCCCACACACACAAACACACACACACACACACACACACACACACACACACACACACACACACACGCACACACACACACAAGTTAGTACACACTTGGTATTGCACCCGCACCCCCCTCCCACACACACACACGCACACACACACACAAGTTAGTACACACATGGTATTGCACCCCCACCCACACACACACACACACATACGACGCTCTATCGGACACTCCTCACAGGTGGAAGTACGTGGATGACTGCACTGTGGGGGTTTCAGTGGACAACACCGCACCAGACTACTCACCGCTCCAAGGCACCCTGGACAGGCTACAGGCATGGACTACAGAGAACAAGGTCACCATCAACCACACCAAAACCGAAGTCATGCACATCAATACTGCCACCACTCCAGTGCAAGCCCCAGCAGTCACAGTGGGTGCCCATCCTCTCCAGCTGGTGCAGTCTGCCAAACTCCTGGGTGTAACTATAGACAACAAACTTGACTGGAAGGCCCATGTAAATAACACAGTCAAAGCAGCCTCTTACCGTCTCTACATGCTACGAAGACGTAGGTCACTTGGTACACCCACGCCAGAGCTGAGGACCATCTACAACGCCTTTATTCTCCCCAAACTAACGTATGCGTCACCACCCTGATCGTCTTCTCTCAACTCTACCCAACAACGTCAGCTAGAGAAGGTACAGAAAAGGGCCTGCAGAATCATGCTCGGCGCAGAATACTCCGGCTACACCAACGCTCTCTCCACCCTGGAAATGCCATCCCTCAGTGACCTCCACCACCAAGCACTGGAAAGGTTTGGCCGTGGACTACTGCACCACCCTCGCCATCACCACCTCCTGCCACCTGCAGCCCCCCCACCCAACTCGCGCAGTCCGCCACTACAACAAAATTCAGCCCATAAGAGCCCTCACTGATAGATATAAGAACAGTACCATCCCATCTATTGTTAAAATAATAAACAACTCCTGATTTATGTACTGCACAGCCCTGTAAATGTATTCAATGCATATTATATCATTATGTCTAATTCCAATGTAAGTCTGTATATTTTCAGCCACCGGCTGCAACCGTTTATTATTATTATTATTACACACACACACATGCACACACACACACATGCACACACACACACACAAGTTAGTACACACATGGTATTGCACCCCCCACCCCCCCACACACACAAACACACAAACACACACACATAAGAACATAAGAACATAAGAATGGAGGAAACTGCAGCGGGCCTATTGGCCCATACTGGGCAGTCCCGTTTACACCCAACCCCTATTGCTCATATAAGCATCCAACCTATGTTTGAAGCTATTCAGCGTATTCGAGTTAATGATGATATTTGGTAACTTGTTCCATTCATCCACTACTCTGTTTCCAAACCAGTGTTTACCGATTTCACGCCTAAATCTAAATTTATCTAATTTAAAACCATTGTTACGAGTTCGCTCCTGGTTGGATAGTTTGAGTACCTTTGTAATGTCCCCTTTGTTTAGCCCTGCCTTCCACTTATACACCTCTATCAGGTCGCCCCTCGCTCTACGTCTCTCGAGGGAGTGCAAATTAAGATGCTTTAGCCTGTCTCTATATTCAAGGTTCCTAATGCCCGGGATTAGTCTTGTCATTCTCCTCTGAATTCTTTCCAAGGATTCTATATCCATTCTGTAATACGGTGACCAGAACTGAACTGCGTAGTCCAGGTGTGGTCTCACAAGAGCAAGATACAGTTTTAGGATGACCTCGCTAGTCTTGTAACTAACACTCCTTTGTATGAACCCAAGTACTTTATTAGCCTTGTTACGAGCAAAAACACATTGTTTACTTGGTTTAAGGTTCCTACTTATCATTACTCCTAAATCTCTCTCGCAGTCGGATTTCTCTATGGCATCGTTGTTCATCTGGTATCTGGTTTCCCTGTTTACATCTCCTATACTGAGTACTTTACATTTGTCGACGTTGAATTTCATCTGCCATTTTTCAGACCATTCGAAAAATTTGTTTAGATCTTCCTGTAGTTTTGCCGAGTCCTCGTCAGATTTAATAACACGTCCTATTTTAGTGTCATCAGCAAATTTACTTATGGTGCTGTCTATGCCGATATCTATGTCGTTTATGTATATAATAAATAATAATGGTCCAAGTACTGAGCCAGAACACCACACACACACACACACACACACACACACAAGTTAGTACACGGTTGGTATTGCACCCCCCCTCCCACACACACACGCACACACACACACACACAAGTTAGTATACACATGGTATTGCACCCCACCCCCCACACACACACACGCACACACACACACAAGTTAGTAAACACATGGTATTGCACCCCCCCCCACACACACACTCACTCACCATCCAAAACATGCAGCATCACCCTGACAGCGTTAAGGTTAGATGGGACACAAATGTATTCCCCAGTATCCTGTAGCCTCGCCCGGGAGAGTAGCAGAGAACTGATGGTAGTGGGTCCTCTCTCCATGATAATTGACACCCCCCCTCGACTACTGCTGTAGCTGATGCTCTGAAATACATTAGAATACATTACAATACAGTAGAATATAATAGAATACAGTAGAATACAATAAAATACATTATAATACGGTATAATACATTAGAATACATTATAATACAGTATAATACAGTAGAATACAGTAGAATACCTTATAATACCGTAGAATACATTATAATACAGTAGAATACATTATAATACAGTAGAATACATTATAATACAGTAGAATATAATAGAATACAGTAGAATATAGTAGAATACATTGTAATACATTATAATACAGTAGAATACAATAAAATACATTATAATGCGGTATAATACATTAGAATACATTATAATACAGTATAATACAGTAGAATACAGTAGAATACCTTATAATACCGTAGAATACATTATAATACAGTAGAATACATTATAATACAGTAGAATATAATAGAATACAGTAGAATACAATAAAATACATTATAATACGGTATAATACATTAGAATACAGTATAATACAGTAGAATACAGTAGAATACCTTATTATACCGTAGAATACATTATAATACAGTAGAATACATTATAATACAGTAGAATACATTATAATACAGTAGAATATAATGGAATACAGTAGAATATAGTAGAATACATTATAATACAGTAGAATACAATAAAATACATTATAATACGGTATAATACATTAGAATACATTATAATACAGTAGAATACAATAAAATACATTATAATACGGTATAATACATTAGAATACATTATAATACAGTATAATACAGTAGAATACAGTAGAATACCTTATAATACCGTAGAATACATTATAATACAGTAGAATACATTATAATACAGTAGAATACATTATAATACAGTAGAATATAGTAGAATACATTATAATACATTATAATACAGTAGAATACAATAGAATACATTATAATACAGTAGAATACAATAGAATAAATTATAATACAGTAGAATACATTATAATACAGTAGAATACAGTAGAATACAGTAGTATTCATTATAATTCAGTAGAATACTGTAGAATAAATTATAATACAGTAGAATACATTATAATACAGTAGAATACAGTAGAATACAGTAGTATTCATTATAATTCAGTAGAATACTGTAGAATAAATTATAATACAGTAGAATACATTATAATACAGTAGAATACAGTAGAATACGTTAGAATCCATTAGAATACAGTAGAATACAGTAAAGATATGTTAGGATGCAGTAGCATATGGTTTTAGGGCTAGTCTATACAGATATTGTGTGTATGTGTGTGTGTTTAGTGTGCGTGTATACATGTGTGTATGTCTACCACAATTTATACACTATTACCAGAACCTACCACAACCTACCACAACCTACTACCACAACCTTTACCACCACCACAAACCTATAGTATTATTACAACTTACCCCAACCTACCATGACTCCCAAACAACTACCACAACCTACCACAACCTACCTTATTCTCGTGGTACCAAAGGACGTAGGCTGGTGGCTCAGGAAGGCCGTGCAAGATGCAGGTCAGGTTAATAATACTCTCCTTTTGAATATACAGGTCGGGCGCTCCTAAAATTTCTCCTTTCGGCTCTGTGGAAGGATAAGGGAATGTAAGTTGTCTCTCTCTCTCTCTCTCACTCTCTCTCTCTCTCACACACACACTCACTCACCCAAAACTCTCAGGTAGATGGTAAAAGCTTTGACTGGCTTTATATTGATCTGACAGTCATAAATTCCTTGGTCACGAGGCTGTACAGATTTAATACGCAGAGTCCATTGGTTTGTTCCCTGCTGGTGTAAGGCCTCGTAACGTAGGTCTGTTGTGTAGGTGTAGCGCCCCACTGCCAGTATACGGAGATCTCTGCCCCTCATCCATGATACCTAGATAGAGGAGAACATCTGGTTAGGAATACGTGTGTGTGTGTGTGTGTGTGTGTGTGTGTGTCTTCTCCACGTATGTCTCCAAGCATAATTGTACATGCATACATACATACATACATACATACATACATACATACATACATACATACTGCATACATACATACACTAGCTCAGTTAAAACATCATTAAAGCAATAAATAAACATTCTCACACGAGACACAAACATTACGTCAGATCAGTAAAGGCGGGTGTTTGATATAGTGAAGACTGATAGAAGAATAGTATTTTGAGTTATATGTACTCTCTCTCTCTCTCTCTCTCTCTCTCTCTCTCTCTCTTTGTCACTCATATTGCCGCATAGTGTATTATAGTGTCTTACAGTGCCATTACTTTATTTCACTTACAATACGACACTCAGCTAAGTGCCTACCATTAGTCTAAGTGCCTCAAAGTGCCTTGAGTGCCTTGTGGAAATATATCTACATTGTCCCAGGGAGATTGTCAGAGTCTGCATATAATTACCATAAGTTTAAAAGTAATGCAGTATTTTGGGGAGTAAAAGTTTTGTTATGATTAGGTTGGGTTCGGTTAGGTTAGGTTCGGTTAGTTAGATTAGAATGATAAGGTTAGACTAGGTTTGGTTTGGGTTGGTTAGGTCAAATTAGCTTATATTTGATTAGATAAGACTAGGTCAGATTAGGTTTGGTTTGAATTAGGTTACATTAATATTTATACTTTCTCAATGTGCACATAAACTGGAGTGTACATTACTAAGTTAACACAGTACAGGTCGAGTGAAGTACAATACACTTTGTACTGTATATTCTGAAGTTTTTGATATGTGTACATTGTACTTTGTTTAAGATGTAAATAATGGAATATGTAGTGTGTGTGTGTGTGAGTGTGTGTGTGTTTGTGAGTGTGTGAGTGTGTGTGTGTGTGTGTGTGTGTGTGTGTGTACATTCCTACACACTTACCGTTCTGTTACGTATGGAGTGAACCCGGCAGTGTAGCTCCGCCTCTCTGCCAACATGCGCCGTGTGATTGGTCATCATTGTGGAGTCAAAGTATGGCTGATCCGTGATTAATGGGGGAGGTGGGATGAGGCCTTGACCTTCGACCTTATTTACTGCCACTGTGGAGGTCAAAGTAGTGTGTTAGTGACCAGTCGCGGTCTGACCACGTAAGAGGACAGACGTGTGCCCATAGATGCTCCTGTCCTCCCGATCATCACACAAAGGCCACCTCAGTCTCTACCTACCCTTTCGCCGGCAAGTGTTGCCAGCGATGGGGGGGCGGGGTCGGCGTAAGCGCCCCAGAAGAGGCGTCCCCTCTCTCATGGATACAGACATTTCTGAAACGGATAGTCATAGTGCATCCCACACCCTGCAAGAGTCAGACCTTAGTGATAGTGACAGTAACAGTAATGTTTCTATGGGAGACACTTGCCGGAGTGGTAACACCAATGCCAAGGGCAGCTCTCCCCTCGACAGTCGACACCCACCCCTCTGCCAACCAACCAAGTAATTTGCATCTGCATTTCCCCAAGGACTTATTGAAAACCGTTGAAGCACGGTTTAATTGGAAAACAAAGTATTGGAGACAACACGGTCTCACCATTCAATTCCGAAAAGTTAAGAACCGTAACTTTATCAAGTGTCAGACACCCGAGATCTATGAAACACTCGGTACTGTTGGATTTCACGGGGTTGTCCTCGTGCCTCCATCTGCTGACGCAGCGGAATGTTGCCACATCCTAGTTAAACAGTTCTCCCTGTACACTGAAGTCGAAGATGCTCGTAACTTTAATCCACGTATACTCAGTGTATGTCAACACTACCGATGGAAGACCCCACAAGCAGCTGTCATAGTTAAATGGAAGGGAGTGCCCAACCACTGTACGTTGAACATGTCACCCGGGGGGCCTGCTTTTTGTGTCATCTGCTGCCAACGTGATCGTCCCAGATGTCGCTTCTGTTCACGTAACCATAACTCTGCCGCCTGTGCCCCAAAAAATCAAAGACCACCTCAATGGAGGTCGTGTGGGCTATGTTGTTGACCCCAGGTGTTGTAATTGTGGTGCCTGGCACATTGCTGACTCACGACAATGCCCCAAACGTCCGTCTGTCCCAGGAGAAAAGCCTCCCCGAAGGCTGCGTCAATCTCAACCTCTCCCCTAGCCTACTGAGCCTAATCCTTCTGCGTCTTCTCTGTCTCCAGCAACGCCTTCTTCAACAACACCTGCCCCTGCCTGACCTCACCTGGCTGCAACACAGCAATCCCAGCCGTCCCTTAACTCAACTACAACTGGGCCTACTCTCCGTCTCTACTCTGACGCTGTCAGGCCTCGTGCTCCCACCGGTGCCTCCACACAACCCCCCTCCGGTGACACCACACAGATCATATCCCTCTCACACGAATTTACCAACCGTATTGAAAGACTCTTTGATACACTCTGTACCGTCATCTCCAACCTACTCAGACTACCCCTGCCTCCAGCTGCTACCCAGTCACCCCCTTTTCTGGTTTGACACAACCTGGTAGTCCCCCTGTGTGCCCCTCATGCTCACGGCCTACTCCACCGCCGCCTGGCACCACTGCTGGCGTCCACACCGAGTCTGCCCCATGCCCGGCTGTCCCCGTCCACCCACCGCGCGCTCATGGACCCGAGGACACCACCCCGGCTACCCCCCCTCCCCACTCCCGTCATGCCGGCACCTGGGGCCCATCCTCTCCAGTTCTCCACATCAATTGACCACCATGCGGACATGCTAGTGGACTACGTATCTACGCCATGAAGGGCGTCCCCTACCAACCACTCGATGTCCCCCTTGAAGCCGACACTACCGACGTACACGCCATCACAATCACACTAAAAGGTATGTCCCTCAATATTGTCAATGCCTATGGCCTGGCACTTGACATTATTAGGGACCTGCCACGCTTTGCCATAAACAGATAAATTATACCGGCAATTTCCCCCCACACAATCATCATTCTGTCACTTTATGTAACTTGCTGACAAAACCCATGACCCTTCAAGCTCTTACGCCCTTATTACATGAGTCATAAAGGCAAGCATGAGCTCCACATGCTTCCCAGATGGGCACTTTAAACGCTTCTGCGCTTTACCTTGCACAGGATGTACAGAGGTGCCCAATAAACTAACCCCCTCTGGGGCAATCTAAAAATCTAAAAAAATCTTCTACACCTCATCAAATTCACGCCCAGGAGGCCCTAGGCCGGCCATCCTCGATTTCGAGGGGCTTCCAATATATCATGGTGTTAATGGTGTTGTCATGGTGCTGTCTTATGGTAGTATCAAGGTGTTAATGGTGTTGTTATGGTGTTACCTTGTGGTATAATCATGTTGTTAATGGTGTTGTCAAGGTGTTGTCCTGTGGTAGTATCATGTTGTCATGGTGTTGTCTTGTGGTAGTATCATGGTGTTAATGGTGTTGTCATGGTGCTGTGTTGTGGTAGTGTTACGGTGGTAATGGTGTTGTCTATGGTAGCATCATGTTATTAATGGTGTTGTCATGGTGTTCCCTTGTGGTAGTGTTACGGTGGTAATGGTGTTGTCATGGTGTTATCTTGTGGCAGAATCATGTTGTTAATGGTGTTGTCATGGTGTTGTCTTGTGGTAGCATCAGTGTTACGGTGGTAATGGTGTTGTCATGGTGTTGTCTTGTGGTAGCATCATGTTATTAATGGTGTTGTCATGGTGTTCCCATGGTGTTGTCTTGTGGTAGTGTTATGTGTTAATGGTGTTGTCATGGTGTTGTTGTGGTAGTGTTATGGTAATGGTGTTGTCATGGTGTTATCTTGTGGCAGAATCATGTTGTTAATGGTGTTGTCATGGTGTTGTCTTGTGGTAGTGTTATGGTGTTAATGGTGTTGTCTTGTGGTAGTATCATGGTGTTAATGGAGTTGTCATGGTGTTGTCTTGTGGCAGAATCATGTTGTTAATGGTGTTGTCATGGTGTTGTCTTGTGGTAGTGTTATGGTGTTAATGGTGTTGTCATGGTGTTGCGTTGTGGTAGTGTTACGGTGGTAATGGTGTTGTCCTATGGTAGTATTATGTCGTTAATGGTGTTGTCATGGTGTTGTCCTGTGGTAGTGTTATGGTGTTAATGGTGTTGTCTTGTGGTAGTATCATGGTGTTAATGGAGTTGTCATGGTGTTGTCTTGTGGCAGAATCATGTTGTTAATGGTGTTGTCATGGTGTTGTCTTGTGGTAGTGTTATGGTGTTAATGGTGTTGTCATGGTGTTGCGTTGTGGTAGTGTTACGGTGGTAATGGTGTTGTCCTATGGTAGTATTATGTCGTTAATGGTGTTGTCATGGTGTTGTCCTGTGGTAGTGTTATGGTGTTAATGGCGTTGTCTTGTGGTAGTATCATGGTGTTAATGGAGTTGTCATGGTGTTGTCTTGTGGTAGTGTTATGGTGTTAATGGTGTTGTCATGGTGTTGTCTTGTGGTAGTGTTATGGTGTTAATGGTGTTGTCATGGTGTTGCGTTGTGGTAGTGTTACGGTGGTCATGGTGTTGTCATGGTGTTGCGTTGTGGTAGTGTTACGGTGGTAATGGTGTTGTCCTATGGTAGTATTATGTTGTTAATGGTGTTGTCATGGTGCTGTCCTGTGGTAGTGTTATGGTGTTAATAGTGTTGTCTTGTGGTAGTATCATGGTGTTAATGGAGTTGTCATGGTGTTGTCTTGTGGTAGTGTTATGGTTTTAATGGTGTTGTCATGGTTTTGTCTTGTGGTAGTATCATGGGTTTAATGGTGTTGTCTTGTGGTAGTATCATGGTATTAATGGTGTTATCATAGTGTTGTGTTGTGGTAGTGTTACGGTGGTAATGGTGTTGTCTTGTGGTAGCATCATGTTATTAATGGTGTTGTCATGGTGTTGTTTTGTGGTAGTGTTACGGTGGTAATGGTGTTGTCATGGTGTTATCTTGTGGTAGTATCATGCTGTCAATGGTGTTGTCATGGTGTTGTCTTGTGGCAGAATCATGTTGTTAATGGTGTTGTCATGGTGTTGTCTTGTGGTAGTGTCATGTTGTTAATGGTGTTGTCATGGTGTTGTGTTGTGGTAGTGTTACGGTGGTAATGGTGTTGTCATGGTGTTGTTTTGTGGTAGTGTTATGTGTTAATGGTGTTGTCATGGTTTTGTCTTGTGGTAGTATAATGTTGCTAATTGTGTTGTCATGATCTTGTTTTGTGGAGCAGCTCAAGGCACTTCAAAACTTTCACCAACGTAATCTACGTTCCATCCTCTGTGTTCGCTGGGAAGACAAGAAAACAAATGCCAGTATTCTCGATGACACCAACTGTAGGAGCATAGGGGCTACCAGTATCCATGAACAACTACATAGGACTGACAAAGTGCCAAATCGACCCCTTCAACTGGGAGTCGATTACTCCACATCGTAACGCTTGGAGGAGCACCACACGTGATGGTGTCAATACTTTCGAGTTTGCCCGACTGCAAACCGCGGCAGACAAACGCCAACGCCGGAAAGAGGCTGCCACCGTCCCTCCCGCACCAGATCCAGCCCTCCACATGTGCAACGAATATGATCGACTCTGCCTATCCCATATCGGCCTCTTTAGTCACCTCATAACTCACCAAAATAGGTGACATCCTAAATAACTCACATCATTGTATCATAGCTGGATGATCGTCAAACTTGATAACGAGTGATAGAAAAGTAGTAGTAGTAGGAGGTAGAACTGTGTAGCAGGGAGGGTAGTGGAGGTAAGGGTGCGTAGCAGGGAGGGTAGTGGAGGTAAGGGTGTGTAGCAGGGAGGGTAGTGGAGGTAGAACTGTGTAGCAGGGAGGGTAGTGGAGGTAGAACTGTGTAGCAGGGAGGGTAGTGGAGGTAAGGGTGCGTAGCAGGGAGGGTAGTGGAGGTAAGGGTGTGTAGCAGGGAGTGGCGGCTGGAGGTAAGGGTGTGTAGCAGGGAGGGTAGTGGAGGTAAGGGTGTGTAGCAGGGAGGGTAGTGGAGGTAGAAATGTGTAGCAGGGAGGGTAGTGGAGGTAAGGGTGTGTAGCAGGGAGGATAGTGAAGGTAAGGGTGTGTAGCATGGAGGATAATGAAGTTAGGGTTTCGTAGTAGGGAGGGTAGTGGAGATAGGGGTGAGGAGATGTAGTCACTTTAAATTCAGCGTGTGGGAATTTACCTTGAAATTTTATTGGCAACTCTTACCTCCGAGAACAGCTAATAACAGTAGAATATTCATGGTGGTGAGTCACACAGTAGTGGGTCTCACGGTGGTGGGTCACACAGTCGTTGGTCGTAGGTGGTGAGTCACACAGTAGTTGGTCGTGTGGTGGTGAGTCACACAGTAGTGGGTCTCACGGTGGTGGGTCACACAGTAGTGGGTCTCACGGTGGTGAGTCACACAGTAGTGGGTCTCACGGTGGTGGGTCACACAGTCGTTGGTCGGAGGTGGTGGGTCACACAGTAGTTGGTCGTATGGTGGTGGGTCACACAGATTGTTCTAGATCAAAGATGTTCTCACACAACTTTGAAATTTGTCTTGGTTTTATTAGATATATCGAAATTCAAAAAGTTAATGAATTATAACTTAATATTTTGAAATAAATAATAAAATCAAAGTTTAGTTAAGAGATGAGATGATATTCTTGTTTTAAATGTTCACTTCCCCTCACAAACACTTTATTTTACAACCAAAACAAAATGAGTAACAAACACTCGTAGGAATATTTTTACGTCACTCAGTTCTCAACAAGTAATAATTTTGGACATTTTCATATGTTCAGGCATGCTTGGTTATGGTATGCCCTTCATAAGTGGTTGGTCGGGAAAGATGTGGTGGTGTATTTCGGTCGGTCTTAGGTAGTGAGGGAGAGCGTGCACGGACCCTCCTCCTCCGCCGCGCCGCTGTCGCTGTACTGACGATCACCAGCTCACTGTTCAGCTCAGCCAGTTGGCCATACATACACCATTATCACTACCTTCCCTAAGCAATACTACTACTACTAATACTTGCCACCATCACTACTACTACTACTTGCTATCACCACCGTTACTACTACTACTACCACCTGATAATACTTCCACCTGATAGTACTACTACCACCACCTACTAAAACTTTTTTTTTTTTTTATATGGCCTCCAGCCTCCCCCAATAGCCATACCTTCGCCACCATTTAATTACCTTAATATTAAATAGCCTAATACATAAATAGCTATCCTATCTGTGCTAAATTAGTTGAGCAGCAGATCTATGCGGGATTCAGTGACAGTAGCCTCATAGTCAATATCAGCGACTGTTGTCGGCTTTGGGGCCGATGCTCTCGTTCTCCTGAGGCAGAGCAATGCCAACCTAAGCAGAGAGAAGGCTAGTCGACATCTCAACCAAGCTGTAACGTTACTTCTGGGCTGCGTCTTCCGTTCAGATAATACCTCCGCGAGTCTGGCTTATAAACATCTTGAACTTGGTCCCATCCTGCCTGAGGTTGTAAACACCAGAGGAGTAAAGCTGCCCTGATCAACATTCAGAATTCTCTCCCCATATGCCCTGATCTAGTCATTCTCGTTCCTCCTGTGATCAGCATTGAGAGCTAGGCTACGGTGACACCGGCCATGGGATTGAAGATCCCTATGTCAAAGAAGGCTTGCTGTCCACGTGTCCAGAATTCTCGAGCACTGACGTCCACACGGGCTTCGTTGGATATGTTTGAAGCCCTGTGATGGAGATTCTCACCGTCCAATGGAAGGAGGATCGGTTTTGTCCTGACATCATGACAGATTTCCCTCAACACATTTTCTGTGATATCCCTTACTTCGTCGTGCCTCATGCATACGAAGCCCCCGTTCTTGCACACCATGGCGTGGTCGATGTCATAGGAAGAGCCACATGCGCTTTGGGAGGGCTAACCTTCTACTGGCCTACCATACCTTAGAGCAATGGCATCTGTAAATTCTTGTTTATTAAGACTGAAACCTCTTACCCTTATCGGTAACGATGTTAGCCAGTTCGAGGTGCCCACCTCCTGCGCTATAGCTACTTTTTTTTCAAGTTCTCTGGCACTTGCAGCATCAGTTGTTGCAGTTTATCACTTTGGGTGTGCTGTCGTTCAGTCGTAATGGACCGTCGAATCTTGTTTACTTCGCTGGTATCCACCTGACTTGCTGCATTCTGAGTTATTATATGCTCAGTGAGGGCTGCTGTGAGCTTGACTGAGTTCTGATGTTCGGTGGCAGCAAGCTCCTCTGGATTAGTCAATCCCATTCCTCCCAGTCTCGGTGGTAGTGCAAGGATTGACCTTTCTGCTGGGGTTAAGTGAAGGTGTTTCACTAATTTTGGAAAGAAATGACGTTGATGGCTTCCTCCAGAGGGTGGAGGAGGAGTCCGATATTCGGGATAGTGCGCATGGATGAATGCCACAGAAGCAGCATGTGGCTCTTTTTTAGCAATATCAGACAGAGCATGGATTTCCTTCACCCACTCATTTATCTTTCCTGTTACGTACTCGGTCTTGATATCCTTTGTGCCGATTACCACACCTAGGTGTCTTTGGCCTTCCTTTTTTATTTTAACCTCGCTTCCACCGAACACCTACACTGCCCGTTCATAATGTTCTGGCTTCAAAATGAGGAAGGGCTTGCTGGCATTTGGGTGGTACCCTATTTGTGGACCACGTGATGTTATCAGGTCCCAATACTTTTTGATGACCCCACTTTCCCTGCTCCTCTAAGGTCGTCAGCATAAGCCACTTGCTCGATCGCGGTTGTTTCAAATTTTATTGCGTATTGGAGCACGGATAGGCGTAGTGCGTACATTCCCATGGCAACAGGGTCCCCCTGCATTGTTCCCTCAGTTGACTGTATGATGGTATCTCTTTTTAAAGCCTTGAAGCTTGTTATATAGAGGTCTGATGGGTTCCTATAGGTGTTTTCAACATACATTGCAAAGCTTAGACACTTGATCTTGATGTTGTGCAGTGTAGCTTCGCCGTTGATTATGTTGAATGCATTGGAAGCGTCAACTGGGAGTACTGCCTCACAATCACGCTGCTCAGATATCTTTCTCATGGCGCGAATGACAGTCTCCCCCCCTCCGGCGTGGTGGCCCGCACATACTTTCAGGTTCCCTGTATCTGCCCTGACATCATCATTTACCACCTCCATTATCCAGGGGAATGAGGCGGCAGGACGTTAGAGCGTGTAGGTGATGGCAGCATGAGGTTACTAGCTTTCTTGCTAGGGCGGCGGTGGCATTGCAGAGATCACTTGCTGCAGCGTCAAACTTCTTAGTGCTGAGGATTACTCTTCAACCGTCTGCATCCAAGCCTGAAGGGTCTGCCCCTCCCTTTGTTTTCAGTGCTTTTTTCCACACCATCCCACCTGTTATTATCTGCAGGGGGATGTTTTTCCTTCAGTTGTTGTAATGTCTCTCTGTTTATTGGCAGAACACCACCGGAAGATTTCTATTTGAGAGATTTTACCGCCAAGGACACTTTTCTCAGCCTCAACTTGTTTCCAAACTTTCTGGCAACATCCTCGGAGTTTTGCTTTTCATCTCCGATGAATTTTAGACTTTCCTGCAGTGTTCTTGCCCCTTTCTGCCACATTGTCAATCTTCTCTTCATTGCTGCCACATTTTCTTTGTACTTAATCCTTTCGTGTGTCCTCTGAGAATAGATGGGGTATTATTGCCAGTATTTGAAGAGGTAATGGGGCAAGGAAGCAGTCCTGAGTGTACTCGATTATGAGGCGAGTCATCTCCCGAATCATTTCTTTGGTGGCTGCACACTTGGGTGGTTCATAAAAGTTAATGGCGACCACCTGACAACTTCTGAGTAGGTTTCTTTAACCCATTATTAGCATTTTCCAACAACATGCCATTCCACTGTGGTGGCTGTTTGTCGTTCACCTCGTGGACTTCTGCAAATGTTGGAGCAGCAATTGTTGACATTATATTTTCAAACTGAGTGGACTCACTGCTAACATTCAGGGTATCATCGGACGGTGATGTCCGGACGATATCCAATTTGTCCTTCTGTGACGGCTCCCTGCCCTGGGGATTCAGACAATTGTTTCCCTTTCTGCATCCCACACGTCGGCGGTTGTTTCATGCACATTCACAGCTTGTGTAATCTTGGTTCTGGCTAGCACAGATGCAGCAAAAGTAGTTGCCCGGCATAATGCATCACACTTCGGGCAACAGGAATGTCTGCCACTGACATCTGCTTTGTTCTCATACGGTGGGCGGCGGAGTCATGAGTTATGAAGTGAAAGAAGATTAATAGGGGTTGAAGAAAAGTGGTGAAACTGAAATATAGTAAGAGTAGAAAGAATCTGGGCTCAACCAGATCGCTTCATGTTCCCTATTGGTGTTTAATCTTTGTTTTGCTCCCTTGGGTCGTCAGACCTTTGTATTAATATTGGTTTATTTATATAGTGCTGCTTATTATACTTTTTTTTATACTGCGGTGTAGTTAGTGAGCCCGCCCATGTCCTTGTGTAGCTGGGAGGGTAGTCACATTTGTTTTCCTAATGTGTTTAGTTAGATGTTAGTTGTGTTAGTCTAAAGTATACTGTATGGAGAGGCCTGCCAGGTTCTTAGTGGAGCTGGTAGGTCACTCTCATCTTTTATTCTCTCTATTAATGTTTTATGTGTATATTGGGGCAGGAAGTGGTTCATTTACTTTCTTCCTGGCTGATTTAAAGCAACTGTGTTCTTGGAATACTTCATTATCTATATTATTTATCCAGTTTTGGTAAGTTTCTGTGTTGAGTTCAGTCACTTTGTTCCAAATATTTGCGGCTTTGTTGTGTATATCTACATTGATTGCTAGGAGGTTTGTTCTCTTGTGTAGCTGTTCATTATTGATGTGGTCTGTATATTTTATGTTATAAATAAATCTGAGGGCTATATTTTGTACTGTTTGGAACCTTTTAATGCTCGTTTTACTTAGGGTGTTCAATGGGATGGGTGGGTAGTCCATAATTGATTTGACAAGGACTATATAAATCTTTCTTTTGTTATTTATGCTAAGATTCTTAAAACGTTTTATTTTTTATAATCTTCTTCTAATCTCTCGTTCTTTATCTTTTATGTATGTTATATATCCTCTTTTTGTTAGTTTTAGTCCAAGCATTCTGCCTTCAGTGTCGTATGGGTATAGTTCCTGGTCGACTATTACTGGACTTGTTTTGATCTTGGCTATCGGTATTATCTTGAACTTGTTCTTATTTGTCCTGATTTTCCATTTTTTCTCAAAGTCATTTATGTTTTTTTATCGCTCTTACCGTGTAGCGTGCCATAAATTGGGTTGATTTTTCTGGGTATGATACTATTTGAGTAATATCATCAGCAAATATTACATATTCGCTAAAAGGGGTTAGTTGAAGTGTGTCTGAGGTATAAATTGTATATAGTGTTGGAGAAAGGCATCCTCCTTGAGGTACTCCACTCTCAAGATTAAACATAGTTCCCATAAGGTTTCCAATTTGAATTTGTGCTCTCCCATCATCTAAATAGTTACACAATATTCTTAGTAAGTGTTCGTTAAGTCCCAATTTTACTATTTTATATTTTAAGCCCAAATGCCAAACTTTATCAAAAGCCTTAGAAACTTCCCTTCAAATTATATTGATCTGGTTCCCCTTGCTTTTTTCTATCGCCATTATTTCCGTTATTGCAGCTATTGCAGTTAGGGTATTTCTATTGGGCATAAATCCATGTTGTCTATTGTTAGTTTTCCCCTGTTGTGTTAAAAAGGTTATAAGTCTTGAATGTAATTTTTTTTCCAGTAGTTTTCCGGTAATTTCTAACAAAGATATTGGCCTGTAGTTTAATATTTCCTTGTTGGAGAGTAACCTGTTATTAAGCATGCGTTATAGATGTTCAATAATGTTTTTAAGAT